ACGTAAAATGAGTATTCTGGATTTTTGATATCGAGCTGATTAGGATTGGATATAGGTTTTTTTATTATTTTAGGTCCTAAATGCAAATCGTGTTCATTCATATCTTTGTAAGACAATACATAACTGTTTAGTTTTAGTAGATTTTGACTCAATAGTATATTCTGCCTGATACCGATCGAGATTTCCCTGAGGTGTTTGTATAAGTAATGTGGAAACACATTAACTGTTGTCTTGTCCGTCTGCTCCAACCATGTAAACTGTTTTGATTCCGATTCATCAAATGGTTGGACAAACTTGATACTACCAAAATTATTGCATCGATGAATTAACAATAAAAAATAATCGTTATCCCTATTTAAATTTCTCCAATCCACGGACATCCGCTTTCGTGTTAGTTCTTTCGTCAAGAACTCAGAAAGAACGGGTGTATCATGGTATATTCCTTTGAGATTACAGAAGGACGTAACTTGTGTTATAACATCCAAAGCATTGAATAAATTCCTATGAAATTGGTTACTCGGCATACGATATTTATAACTTAAAAAATCGTTAATCGGCCATACCCATTTTGGCGGATGGTAGCCTATGCTCATGATAGATTTTATTGAATTTTCCATCGTCTTTGAATATAAAGAATTAATTTGGATAATGTCTTGGAATGATTCTTGATGCAATAAACTGTAATCTACTAACGTATGTACAAAGTTCAAATGCTTTTTGGTGAAGTTCGCGTACGTACATTGAACAGCGAATGTTTTATCGTATATCATTTTGTGTAGATAATCTCGAATCTCATAGTCGTTTAAAGTCTCGAAATTGGGTAGATTTATTATGTTAGTATTTAATGATGAAGTAGTTATGATGTTATTGTACATGTCACTTACGTATTGAATTAGAGTTTCAGTATCCATTTGGGATTCTCTACTTTCGCCAATCAAAAACAATGCAATTAAGATAAACCCTGTTGTTTGACAATTTGTGATTTTAAAATATTTCATTTTCACAAAAAAAAAAAACAAATTGATAATAAATATGTCTTCACGGTATTTATTTTCTTAAATGCACTCAGTTAAATTCACTTAAGTAAAATTCTAATTTGCTTCGTTCACGATTTGACAATAGTATCGTATATTTTAAAATAAAATAGTACACCACATGTGCGTTGATATAACGTTACATATTGTTTTTCACATATAGGGTGACTCAAGGTAGATTATGATTGTCATAATAATAAATAATATATTTTAATATTTAGATAATTTGTAATTTATTTATTTATTTAATCATTATAAATATAAGATAATTTTACTGTTTAAGACTGATTCTAATCAAATTTATTTATAAAATTTTAATATCAATTCATAGTGTGGTTCGACAAAATTGATTATAGTTTAATAAAAATAATAAGATCTCGAGTTTAAAACTGAAAATTAATTGAAATTATTGATGAACTGGCTATAACACTTTTCAGGTTATAACTCGGATTCTTTTTTATTAATTTTATTTTTATTTTACATATTATACCCTGTACATATACAATGAATATCATATAATAAATTATAGGTACTGACCTGATATTATATTTTGTATTTTCGAAATAGTGACATGTATTCAATTTGTTTAGTTTACACAAGTATAACATAAATCAAAAAAGTCATGACGCGTTGGCACATTTTCTTTAAATTATGTATATATGACGAGGGCTACAATACAATTACAACGGAAACAGCTATTTCGGTAAATAAAACTGAAAATATTATGTGATAAATATATCATTTATATATTTTAAGCAGGAGCGTGCTCACGGTGGTGATGAAGGTGGCATATTCTTCCTCATAAACTGTTTGTGTGTGAATTTCGCTACTAAAATTAGTTTGCTTGGAAAACTCGTCATTTTCTGTCAAGAAAAATACTCTAAAAGTTTTACTTGGCGCGTTACATTATGACATAGAATTTCAGCTCAGCGCTGCGGTAATTTATTTGAAATCCCTAACAGTACATCCCTGACATACGTTTTTGAAATAATGATGTATAACAACAATGTGCACTTGATTTATATAAACGGATTTCTTTTATAGTTACCATGGTTGAAAATGCGATTAAATATAATAACAAAACAGCATTTTTTACAGAGAATAATACTTTTGGAATATCTGATAAGTGTTTCTNCAAAAATTTATCGTAATCTGCTGAACAAAAGAGCGTCTTATATGATTAGATAGAAAAAAACCGAGCCACATAACAGGTAATTTTTAAATTGACTAGTATAGAAAATGTTTAGGAACCGGCGGAAAACTACGTCTGATTCGGAAAAGCGTCTTGTGCTAGTTTTACTATATATATTTTCTTTAATGATATTCGTTAATAATTTAACCGATTTTCAAGTTTTTTCTATGTTTTTCCTGGTTTTCCCATGTTTTTCTAGGTTGTTTACATTTGATGGGAAAAATCGGAAAAATCGCAAAATTACTTCCTAAAGTACTTCAACCTTCCCGGTCATATTTCCTTTCGGAAAAATAGGTATCTTTGTAATTCGGAGAAAATTTGTATATGTTGGCCTTAGTTATATGGCCTTAGTATGATGTACTCATTTATATGTATGCATACATGCATACAAATACGTGAAATTACTATATAATTGGATTTTAATTATTATTATACTTTAAACGACTTGAGTAGACTGTTTAGCTGTGCGTTGCTTTCTAAAAGTGATGTAATCAATCGACGACGGATCACTATGACCGCTAGCGAAAACGTAAGGGGACGTAGACTACATTTTATCTCTTCGGTTAATTTTAATGGAGTTCAAGGCATGTAATGTAAATTAATTAGTATAATAGTAATAATGCGTATAATTATTTTCGTCTGTTGTATAGACGACATGGAACGGTGCGTTGTTACACAAAAGAAAACAAAAAAAGACCTGATACTGCTGACTGTTATGTCTGGCATATTTGAAAAGGGAGAGTAATGCAATAATCATCCCCCCTCTCACACATGGATATTTTAAATTGTTTCCCAGTGGAAGTAAACCATCATCTACTAGCCATACGTTCACATTACTATAATAATTTGGTATTTTTTTCGTTATATTTAATAACTGTGTCAATATTTTGATCACCGACTGATAGTCTTATCAGAAAACTGGTACAGATCTAACTATACCGTAATATAACTAGCAGATTTCATATTAAGTATATTATATAGGTACACAGTATACATATTTCTCCAGAAGTAGATAGGTATAATGAAAAAATCTAAAAAACAAATCACATATTTATTATTTAAATACTTATTTATTTATTTAAAATTCAAAAAACAATTGTTTGGCTTAATAAATATTTAAAATTAAAGAAATCATTTTCTTTTTCTATTACATTATTAACATAGACGATTTTCTTGTTGCTTGATACCCGCTTTTATTAAATCTGGTCGTCATATCAAGAATATTACCATACGTAGTAGAAAGAAACAAAATATAGTACATTTAGATAATAGTATTATACATTAGATTTAATAACAAAATTTCAAATTTAATTTTAAAAACATACGTTTATAAAACCACCACTAGTTAATCCAATTTATTATATTTTTATAAATTATTAAAATTAATGATAATTTAAAATTACGATATTCATGTTAAATCAACGTCTTTTCCGTATAAGAAATAAGGGGTTAGGGTCTGAAGAATCACCTAATAACACCAATGCCTACATCAAGTATAATACGTCGACATAGGGTTTCGGTTAGATTGGATGAAACTAATTATTTATTATTGTCTAATACAGCGTTTCCCAAACTGTGGTCCGCGGACCCCTAGGGGTCCGCACGTATACCGGAGGGGGTCCGCGAACGTAAATTAAAAATTTACAAAGTATACCTATCCATAAAACGAAAATAATGATGCAATATTCGTATTACATGGGAAATACTGTTGATAATAAATACATTGTTGAAATAGTTATCGTTGAAAAGCAATTAAGATTAGATTATACGTATAGAAGACTGCAGATTGTTCGCGTCAGAGACAGATTGATCGCGTCGGTCAAATAACCGGTAGTTTGTTCGTTGCAGCCGTATCGTCGTATACGTAGTGTAGCATACTTTCAGTTAATTTATATTATAAAATAATTGTACGTAAAAATTTATATTTTTTAATTTAATTTATTTTTTAAAATGAAACGCTGGTTACAAAATAATGAAACCACTATGAGTGAAGAAAATGAAGGCGATTCTACAAGTTCTAAAAAAGGATCAACGCATGTAAATAAGCGTCGTAAGTTTTCGGAAGAATACATAACTTTTGGTTTCACGAATATAAATGTAAACAACGAAGAAAGACCCCAATGCGTCATATGCTATGAAATATTATCGAACGAGTCCATGAAACCAGCAAAACTTCGACGTCATTTACAAACCAGACATACAGATTATCTTACAAAATCTAAACAATTTTTTGAATCGAAAGCAACTGAATTAGAACAAAGTAAAAAATTAATTAAAAAGACTGCAATTGGAACTAATAATGAAAGAGCTGTAACAGCATCTTATCAAGTATCTTTACTTGTTGCAAAAAGTGGCAAACCACATACTATCGTTGAAGAATTGATCCTACCAGCTGCAAAAATTATGGTTTCTGCTATGTTAGGAGATAAAGCATCAAATGAATTAAGTACGGTTTCTTTATCAAATAATACAGTTAAGAACAGAATTGTTGAAATGTCAGAAAACATTAAAGAACAGCTTATTTCAAATATCAAAACAAGTAAATTTTATTCTTTACAATTAGATGAAAGCACAGATATTTGCAATGACGCAAATTTACTTGCATATGTCCGTTATGAAAATCATAATACTATTACTGAAGATTTTTTATTTTGCATATCTCTACCTTCCAATACTACAGNCCTATTGGTCATTAATAGAATAATAAAACATAAACGGATTTTTACGTCTAATAAAGGATATTAAAGCACATTTATCTACATTGAACCAAATCATCTTCCAACCTCAAACAGTCCTCAAGTGAATTCACTTCCAAATACATTTTTAACTCGTCAGCAAAAAGAGAAAATCTAGAGAAACGGAACACGCTGTTTAAATCATTGATTAACAACAAAAAAAGCAAGAGTGATATACCCTAACTTTCAAAATTCTCACTTAAAATAATGGCCCATCCATAGTGCGAAGTATGTATCTTTTGGATCTTCAAAATAAAACTACTGACAGAGAACGTCGTTTTTTGATACCTTAAATATTTTTTTTAGAATAATTGGGAAAATCCAAAATAGATCAAAAATACGATTTCTTTTCAAATAACAATGTCATTAAAAACTAACAGTTTGTACGGCTTATGTTTTTTACGAAAAATATTGCTCCAATAGCAAAAATAGAACGTTTTGTTGAATATTTAATGTAGTTGGTGTCTAAAGACATTTTTTGATTTACTTTGTATTTTTTTTTAATAATTACGCAACTCGAAAAAAGAAAGGATGGAAAAAGTTAAAAAAGAAATCCTTTTGTTATTTTATAAAGACTGCTCTGGCATTATCCTAAGAATAATGCGAAGATCCAGATTTGCGTCTATAATAGGTATATTATATAGGTACACAGTATACATATTTCTCCAGAAGTAGATAGGTATAATGAAAAAATCTAAAAAACAAATCACATATTTATTATTTAAATACTTATTTATTTATTTAAAATTCAAAAAACAATTGTTTGGCTTAATAAATATTTAAAATTAAAGAAATCATTTTCTTTTTCTATTACATTATTAACATAGACGATTTTCTTGTTGCTTGATACCCGCTTTTATTGAATCTGGTCGTCATATCAAGAATATTACCATACGTAGTAGAAAGAAACAAAATATAGTACATTTAGATAATAGTATTATACATTAGATTTAATAACAAAATTTCAAATTTAATTTTAAAAACATACGTTTATAAAACCACCACTAGTTAATCCAATTTATTATATTTTTATAAATTATTAAAATTAATGATAATTTAAAATTACGATATTCATGTTAAATCAACGTCTTTTCCGTATAAGAAATAAGGGGTTAGGGTCTGAAGAATCACCTAATAACACCAATGCCTATATCAAGTATAATACGTCGACATAGGGTTTCGGTTAGATTGGATGAAACTAATTATTTATTATTGTCTAATATATTTGATATTTAAAGATAATACCTTATTATTATACTTATACACCATCAAAAATCATCATCGTTAATTTTTATTTGTAATTACAACAGTTATAAAATAAATATTATATTATTTCAATTCATTCTAACCAAATCGACTCGATAACCTTATTATATCTGTAAGTATACATTAGGAGGAGAGTGTGATTTTTCAGAGCTAAGTCCCTTCGCCACAACTTCCCTGATCCGATGAAGAGAACGGCGATTCAACATTAATATCGTATGGCCAATGGCGGACGTTCTTAAAAGTTACATCAGCTATTTCAAACGTAGGAGTATTAAAAATATAAATATTATTTATTTTTTCAAACCTTCTGGCCCGAAAAATTGTGTGCCATCCACCACTGAGTGTGGCCATCGATATTTAACAGATTCAATCAGTATATTATGCATATGAATATTTTCGGTAATCGATTTGAAATCAGATATATAATCATTGACATTTTTTTTTAACTGTTCTATGAAGTACCAGACACTCTT